CGGTCTAGAGAGGCGGAGACGCGCAGTGCCGATATGATGTGCTGCTAAATGCCTCCCCAACTGCATATGTATGAGAGAGAGACGTGCAATCTCGCTGCCACGAAGCCGGAATATGTGTACAGAGAGGTCGACCAACTCGTCCCCTTGCCACTTGCCACTTGCTACTTGCATTGCAGCGCTTGAGCGCGGTAGCGTGTCATTACTCGTCATTATCCAGCTGCCAAATCGCTCAACGGTATGAATATCGGTGCGAGCTATTCTCTCCGAACGTCCCTCGCCTCTCGTGTTTATGTGTACGCGTGTAGGAGCGACGCAAAGTACTCACGAAGGGAGCAAGTAGATATTTACTGGCTTCGTAGCGGGCCTGCAGCTATATAGAATTCTGCTCGACTCGAGCACTGCAGCCTCGCACTGGTCGTGCTTTGTTCGACTCAGTGCCGCTGCACTTGTTAAGCTCGGCTCCTGCCGAAGACACATCGCTTCGCTTCCAGCTCATTTCAAAGCTATCTCTTTGTAAAGCAGCTTTGCTTTCTTTAATATAGTATATGGATTGTCTTTCTGATCATTGCCGATCAAAATCATTGAAAGAAAATGGACGAAGCTTTCGAATAGCGAGCTTTTCAAAAAGCTCAAATGAAATAGAAGGCTTCGCATCGCTAAAGTTGGTTGTCCTGTACATGTCATGTCTCGACGTCACTGTGAAGCAGTGCAAAAGTTTGCCTTCAAAGAGAGTGCTAAAAAAGCCGAAGAACGAGCTGGTCCACTCAAGATTCTCGCAAATATCTAGAAAATATCTCGCAAATATCCGCCTACTCGGACTGGCGCAGCTGGCCTCGGCGGGCTTGGCGCGTCGTACGTAAGCAGTACAGTATAACTCGTGCGCTGCGCATATAACTCGTGGGCAACGGCTAAAGAGGCCGATGCTATTGGCAGCCGAGGCTGTAGAGGCCATAAGTCGACATGATGGATGCTTGACAGGCCGAGCGCAAGGCAAGTCCTAGGCTGGCCGCTTCCAAGCTCTCACATATAGCGCGGAGCTTGAGCTGCTCTGGCAGTTATAGTAAATTATGGCCCGAGCAAGCCTTGCGGGAGCTGAGAAAGCCATCGGACCGCTTCGTCGTCCTTGTCCACGTTCTACATTGTGTCCGTCGTCTTGGGCGCACTCCGAGCGGCTCTCCTAGCTCCCGACGCAATAACAACAAATCTTGCCCATATTAATTCCTTCAATGACGTATATAACTCTCAACAAATGGCATCGATGCCGACAGCTACTCTCGATGGCCGCATATCTCGCCGCTTATCTGCCATTTTTATCGTCAACGGCGATAGTAGGCGCTGCGACTGGCTGCAAGAAGGATCTCTCGGGTTCGATCGGTCTCTCGCTTTAGTGCTTTTTGTCCTTTCGCAAAAATGCCTCGCTATCCCCTGCGTGCGCTTTTGGCACATAGAGATAGGATATAATGGTCAGTCGGTGGCCCAATCGTGCGCTCGTGCAGGATCTGCATGCGTCGTCTCTCTCTCTCTCTCTCTCTCAATGATCGCACATCGCCTTTAAATCATCGACTGTTGTATTATCTGTTATTGGCAATGCAATTAAACGTTTATATTCGCACGCTTTAAAGGCAACTGCGCGCGGATATTATAGACAAACGCTCGGCTAGTCGACTGCAAGCTGCGCTCGTCTGCCTCGAATTAGAGGATTCGCGCCAACAAGCTGATGCTCGCTCGTTTTCTGCCTTTATATAAAGAGATCCAAATATCTGCTCGCTACCCTCTCGGCTTGTCCTAAATTTCATGCCTAGTACGAGAGAAGCGGCTGTTTAAACAGCGGCGCAGCGCAAATCTCACTTTGTCCTCTCTGCTCGCGCGCCTGTGTATCGCGTGTGGCTAATCATGAACATTTGCAAATGCTCTACCGGAGAGAGACCGAGGGAGGGAGCCAACGCAGTCAAATGTGCGCTCGTTATTGCGCATTCGATTATAATTTACCTTTTTTCTCTTCTCTCACCAAAGTAATTCGAGCGTGTCTGATTATCCTTTTGTACCCGTTTAGGCATCATTTATCTCCAATATATATTCCATTATTATATTTTATCGTCAATTATTTCTCTCTTCGTGATAAAATATTTTCAGCAATTTCATATTACCATGTATACATTGAAATAATTAATTAACAATGAGCTCGGCTGCATGTAATTAATACCATCACAAGCAATTAGTGCGTGCAAAAAAAGATCATCTTGGAAGCGTACTCGCGCGTTCAATATAATCTCCAACAGGCCGATTCACGCAATTAGAAGGCACCGCGTGATAAGACCATAAGGCCAATAAGATGCCTGCAGTAATGGCACCTAACGGCCTTGAAGCAATTATCTCGTTTTCGAACGCTCGGTATTAAAATCCATATGGGTCTTAAACTCCAAGGAAGGCAAATAAAGGTAAACATATTCCAGTTGAAGAGGAGGGGCTTGCAGCAGTACACGCAGAAATTGCTCGAAGGAGAATCGAGTCGAGGCAGCGCCACCGAGTCGCACCTGTGAAATTGTCAGCTAAAAGCTTTCTTCGACTCGCGGCTACATACAATTTTACGCTAAAGTAATTCGACTAATCTCTTTCTCCGTAGCGAGAGTATGCCACAAGAATGTGATTGTATTCCAATCGAACTTTTTCCCACAGTGGCAAGACAATTTGCCAAAAAAATCGTTTGTTCGTCGCTCGATTACGTGTTAATGTTTTGCTCTTTTCAGCCACCGACTCGAGCTTAATTTCGAATGAGATTATACATTTTTTCAATGAAGCATACGTACATCGGGTGTATTGGGCTTTTAAATGAAAGTTTAACAGCATAATATCATCAGAGAAAATCAAAGGTAGCTCGCTGGTTAGATTTCCACGAGTAAACGATATAGCAAGGTAGAGAATTAACTCGTAGTCGCAAAAGAAGAAAGTGAGACAACGATATGAGGGGGAGGGGGAGCTGTAAGGAAGACGCCGGCTTAAGGTGTTGAATCATAACAAGGACTTAGTGGCCGAAAGCTCAGGCGCGCGACAAGAAGTCTCGAGTGCTCGAGACTCATTGGCTGCGTGCTCATGTATGTGCGAGCAGAGACGATGTTTGGGAAGCGCAACTGGTATTAGCGAGTCGAGCTTTTCTCATTCCCATTCCATATTCATGACTCCTTCTAGTCTTAAAAATGAAATACCCAAGAGGCAAGTGCAAGACGATCGTCATATATTCAACCGAGCTCTGCGACGACTGAAAACTTTTAAATGTTTTTTTTTCTTTCTCCTTGCTTCTTAACAGTGACGATTGTTGTAGCATGATATTTTTCTTACAAATATATTAAATTTCCATTATAGATATGGAGGATAATTCGGAGGTCGGTGCAGAGGTATCGGTCTACGGTGAAAATTTGTGGAGGTCCGAGGATCGAGCTACGAAGCAAAGCTCGAGGTCGTCGACGTCGCTGCCAAGTATAAGGATTTACGATGCAGCTGGCAGATCGAAAGCAGGCGCGCTTCGAGGGATTGCAAATCCCTCGCGTTTGAGGATCGCTGATAGCAAGTTTTATGTCGGACATTAGTAGCTCTGGGCGTGGCTATTTGACTGGTAGACGCGACGTGGCTCCCTTTTCTGCTTTTCTGCAGAAGCCGAGTCTCGAGAAAGTAGGTGTAGGTAGCCGTGCCAGCCATAGAGTATAGCGTCGCAATATAGCCGAAGCAGTTGCAGCAGCAGTAAAGTTGCAAAGAGGGCCATGCAATAAATTAGCTCAAAATGAAAGACAAATCGCCTCGAAGCTGTCCGCCCGCGAAAGCAGAGCAGCTGATAGAAGAGCCCGATCGTCTCCGACGACTATACATAATACAGAGTTTCGATCCAATAGCTACAGCTAAAGAACATCCAAACAGTCCGATACACTTGGACATGCGACAGAAAGTTTACAGCAGTGGAAAATTATCTCAAACGCGCACTTGGGATGAATAAATGAGTCAATGCGCGTCCCGTCTTTATTTTGCGCAGAGTCGAGCAGCCGGACTAGCAGCAAGTCGGAAAGGCTACGTTTTAGATTGTACACCTATGTGTATATACGTATCGTGAATTACGATCGAGCCGCGGCTCGACTCTACGACTACGCCGACTAGCCGCTCGCCACTGCAGAGAGTTACTCGGGCGGATATAGCTGGCGTATACGTCGGAATAGCAGTGAGGAGAATTGAGGCTGCGTGGCACGTCTTGTCTGCCTGCAGTATGAAAGAAGAAGTGAAGTTGCTCCCGGGAGAGTAGAGCGAGGCCGAGCTTGCCTAGCTCGAGAGCAGCTTGGCCGCCGCCGCCGCCGCCGCCGTAACGAAAAAGGAAAGCTCGGCAGCGAGCGAGCGAGCGAGACAGGACCTCGTCAGTCTTTCTCGCCAATTTCTTCTTTCCGTCCATTTCGATTTTTTCCTCTCCTCTTTTCGTCCTCGAGCTCGAGCTTTCTTTCGCCGCCTGTCAAACTTCCTTTGGCCGACCTTTTTTCTTTCTTCTTACACGGCTTTTCATTTTCTTTCTCTGCGTCTTATCGGGCTGCCAGTCGACTTGTCGACTTGACGGACGTCTGTCAAGCCACTTGGGACTCGTCCTCGTCCGAGGCCAACGAGAGCCAACTGCACATAGTCTCGCGCAAAAAATAAACGCCAAACAAAATGCCATAGAGAAAAGAGAAATAAAAAAGTTGCGCTAGTCGAGCGACCGCACAAAAGTCCAACTGCGACTAGATTTAACAAAATGAAGAGTCGAAGCTCTGTGCTCGACCTTTTTTTCTCGTGCAACTTCTCTCGGCAGAACCGACGAGTCGAGACGTTTTATTAGTAACTCCACCGCGTAAAACACCTTCCTTCTCTATCTTCTTGAGACCAACTTTGTTACTTTATTTTATAATTTTTATAAATAGTAGCTCTCGAGAGTTTTGACCTAGGGCAACTGCTCAATAGTGAACATGGTCAAATTACAAATACTCGCCTTATTATTTCATCATTTTTTCTACTTTGGAGCTTCTGAAGTGGTTGATGTGCGGTAATTTTAAAATTGCTTTGCATATCGGATTGGGTCTCGTTGTGTGTGAGTCTGGTTTGAAATGCTTGAGGGTCCACATTCTTTTGAATACGTGTCGATTGATGAAAGCTGATGGGTAGTCGTTGTCTCTCAAGAGTTTTCGTACTTTTCTAATGTTTTTGACGTGGAACTGCTGGTCTCGCATGTTTGCAGAGGCATTGGAGTTGTACTCGTCAGTGGCATCGAATCTGGCAATGCAAGGCACCAAGTAGAAGTTTTCGAGGAGCCTTGGGTTCAAATCCTGGCGAGGGCAATCGGATTTTTCCGATTGCTCAGATTTTCCGAAATTTTCCGCTTTACCTGGGAAAATCAACGGAAAAAATTTAAACAAGATTTTCCCGAGTAAAGCGGAAAATTTCAAAAAATCTGAGCTCACCGTCGAAAAGCTGAGGCAATTTCCCATCGAAATGATGCGTTACTTTTTTCTTCTAGGTGCATTCAGGTACTTTTACAGCGAGTTACAAATTTAGCGATTCGACTAAATAATGCCGCACCATGCGGCACTCGGATATTTGATGTGAAATGTTATTTATCAACACTTGTTTATCAACTTTTTAATAGGATTAAAATTTCTAAATTCATATTTAGGTATGTACTCTGAATTAATAATGATAAATGTACAAAATTCATTGTGCAACATTTATTATTTCATACATTTATCGAATTTCCTATGTTATTTCGTATAAATTGCCCTAATACGCTAGTACAGAATTGCTCGAATTGGCGTGACGGTATCGTTCAGTCCTCAATAGAGGAAGATTCCATTTTGGGAATGGGCTTTGCATCCTGTTACATAACACTTCAACACCATTTTTTATTTCATGATTGCAGATTGATCGAAAAAAAAAACGAAATCAAATCTCAAATATCGCTAGAACGATCACGGACACGCGCAACTCGGTGTTTACAGCAGCCGCTAGCAGCGAGTAAGACTCCGAAATAACCGAAATTTTAACAATTTTTTCTACTTTAACAAAAGTGAAATGGAAAAATCCGCTTCGATAGATGAATAGATGAAGTTTTCCTTTACGTCAAGGGATTTTTTAATATATTTTTATCTACACTCACTGAGTTGTAATTTGCAATTAAACTAATCGACTTTACGTTTAAAGTGAGAAAGCTCGGTCTGTTATGCCTACAGGTAAATCAGCTGTTCGAGCGAACCGGTTAGTGACGGTCACTGTACATTATACACCTTAACTAAAAACTTCTTTGAACATCAAATTCAAAACCATGAAACATTAAAAAACCTGGGAAAGTACAATAAAACAAACGCCCCCTTTAAAATGAAACATAAGTTACCACATCACATATTAATTACATGAAATAAAAACATATGGCTCTCAACCAAGCAATACACCAAATCTTTGTTTTAAGATAGTTGAACGTTACTAAACGTATTGTATATAGTTAGATTAAGAGTATTTATTAGTTTTAAGGCAGATTATTGATATGGTTTTTTCAAAAATGTTTATTTTTTCCATAATCTTAAAATAATATCAACAAATGTAAATATAAATTCAAAAACTAGCCACAGCAAGACTAAAGTAAATATACATTAACAATTACGGATAGTGGTAACATGGGCGCCTACGGTATCTACAAAACTTTTGTGCTGAGCACGCAAATGTATTACACAATCATAATAAAAACATATATAAAAGCTGAACTAAAAAACGCCAAGACATATCCGGAATTCGATCTTCAGATTTATGCAAATTTGTTACTTTATTTTATAATTTTTATAAATAGTAGCTGAGAGCTCCAAGTTGAAAGTTATTTTCTCTAATCGCTAATGCAATCAATTTTTCTATCCATCGATAGTCAATACATGATCGGCAGGAACAAGCCCATGACGTTGTTCTCGATCTCGAATCGAATGATTCTCACAACGAATGAGGTACCACAAGTGGATTTTTGTGGCGTGGACTCGGAGACGAGGAAAAATAAACGAACATTCCATGACGGGAGGACGAAGCAGCACACAAGCCCAAGCAGTGAATGAACGCCAACTCGAAAGCTCATAGCCTCTGACAAAGCAATTTGCCTAAAAAGCTCATCAGCCGACTGGAAGAGGATGTGTCGTAACTGCACTCATCGGTGCAGTTTTTCAGGCGACCGGGCGCATAAGTCAGCGGGCCGTGGCAGCTGTGGCTCGTCGTCGAGCGCGTCCGTGTTAACAAGTTTCGGGAAAGGGGGAAGGGGGCGCTCGTATCGGGCGCCGCCTGGCAGCTCGCATCTCGCCCAAAGAAACGTTTTCATTCGAGCTTTATCACGCAAAGCCGGGGCAGCCACGCGACGACAAATCAACTGCGTCTGACGTGATTAAGCGTCGCGCGTTGGCGCGAATATCCTGGCCGATCGATGCCTGCGCGCGAGAGCTCCGCGTATCGCAATAAAAGCACGCGGAGCTTGCGCTCCCTTTTCCGCACTCTCGGCGAAGAACAATGTTCGAAGGTGACGAGCGACGAAGCGATACGATCTTGGGCTGGTCGAAAAACTAGACGAAACAGGTAAATTCAAAGTAGACGAAGTAGGAAAGGGAGTTGGAGAGTGCGTCGATGCGATCGGGCTCGCGAAGAAGTATAACCGAGGCGGGTGGCGAAATGTTTTTGAGCTGTGCCGAGAGTAGAGTAGCTAGTAGAGGGGAAGAAAGAAACGGGGGCTGCTGTAGGCACATATAGGCAGTATATTACTCGGAGAAAAGGCGAAAGGTTCGATAAGCGTGCTTATAACGATAGGCAGCGAGGCGCGGGCTCATAACGCGCTCGTCGTGCTCGTCCCAATGGGGGAGTATTCGGGCGCTTATGCGAGTCTCTCTATAGTCTGTATATATAGTAGTATACATAGGTGGAGGCGCGCGTGCGTCTAGTATTCTCGCGTAGGATGTACACGCGCGCACGTAGATGCGAACGAGTGTATACAAAGGCCTAATTACCCATAAATTCACTGATTTACGGTCGGTCCAGAGAAATGTAAATATGAAATATGAAAATGAGGAGCCGGCGCTACGTAGCCACGGCGTTGCGTAATAAAAGTGATGTACGAGGCTCCGTAGGGTCGTTTTCTGAGCGGCGTCCATCATTGGGGTGACGCGGCGGCTCGCTCACGTTCGGATCGTCGCTGCGCCACTCTTTGTCTCTCTCTCTTCATATATATAGCTAAATATGATAGCTGTGCATTATACGCGAGCGAACACTCGTGATCCTCGTCATCCCCTTTTCAGCTCGTGTTTGCGATGCACAGCTGACATGTACTCGCAACCTAAAACGTCATCGGCTGAAAAACCAACAGCAAGAATATATGAATGCGCACCAAGATGCTTATCTAAATGAGCAGCGGTAGTTTTTATGCTCCACGTGTCAGCTGGTTTGCCGAAAAACAACGATTATGAGCGTCTCCGGACGCAACGCGCTTTCGATCGATGTCTAACGGGAAGGCGCACGAGAAAATTTCTGCATTATCCGATATCTAATAATCATACGTCTTGCGATGATAATGGAAATAATTAAAGGTCGCGCTGGGCTCGTGTGTTTTAGGGCTGTTGCGCCGGGTCATATAGTAGGGAACCTAGCTGGCGCACGTGCGCAACCTCACGGAATAATCCAAGCATTTCGCCCTCTCTCTCGCTTGCTTCTGTTGCGCGATCGTGGCTGCGTTAATTGCACGTATCAAGGAGAAAATTATTCGCTCGGAGCTTCGTTCGCTAGTTTATGTTACCTGCTTTCATATACTTACGTACTACGGAATTGCTAATAATAGATTTAAAAAACTAGTCGATACGAAATTAACAGAAATTAAAAATCTGTACAAATGTATCAACAAGAGAGACAGCTGGGAAGACAAAAGATTATTATGCGAATGTGTGTGCTGCGTAAAGAGAGTAGCTAGGTAGTCGTGGTCGGCGGCTCTTTTCAAAGGGTCCGCGCTAAATCAGCTACGCGTACGATGTTGCCAGTCGTTAGCGTATACGCGGCGGGGAGAGCCGAGACAGTAGGCAATTGCAACAAGGGCGCAAGATATAGGGGCTAATTAAAATAAATCTTAGAAAGGAGTAATTATACGTGTATTAGCCCGCGGGTTAACGCTTGCTCGCCGCTGATGGACGATGCAGCGGCAGATGTACGAAAACGCCTCTTCATTCCTACATTTTCCGTTTTCGCTCGAGCGGACTCGCACAAGCTGGACCAAGCGAGCGTTTACCGACTTCGCTACTATCCTCTCTGCATAGCTATCCCCGACCTCCTTCAAGGCCTTTATTTTTATCCAAATCTAGTCTACATTGGTCAATGTTACTTTTACCGTACTTATATATTCTCTTTAGCTTTGCATACAACATTTATTGACTAGGCATACGCACCATCCGACACATACACACACAATGTCAGGACGCACATGGTGCAACACTTGCAATAAATGGCCGCGTAAATCATTAATCCATCGCACAAGCATATCGATGGACAATCGACTTTGGCTGAAAAATAATCGCACAAAGTGCAGCTCTGGCCGTAAATTACGTCCAAGTGACCGGCAGGGGTGGCCGATGATTTTCAAAGAAAGATCGGATCGCAACTCGCGTCATCGAGTCGGCGAGCGGGCTCGGGCGCATAATCGTAAAATCGAGCAAATTACGGAGCTCGCGAGAGTAGCGCAGCAGCAGCAGCAACAGCATCGAGTGAAATACGCGTTACGAGCTCGATAAAGTTTCCATGCGAATGGATCACGTGTCGCGCGCGGCTGGGCTCCTGCCCTACGCCATTAAGCGCGCGCAAAATAATAATTTCACGTTTAACATTTTGTCCCAAAAACTATAGGTGCAGCTGCAGCGTGATATTACCCACGCGCGACTCTACAATAGTATATAAATCTGCTGGAAAATGCACTCGGGCGAATTTTACCTAAAGTTTGCGAGCGCATTAACGAATTTCGCTGGCAGTAGGCGTTATTAGCGGCAACAACAGCAGCGGTGCAGCCTCATCGCCGTCGTCGTCGTCGACATCATCATTATCAGGGTCATTATCGTCATCGTAATCGGGATGATTGCATCGTTTGCTGGAGAAATCCAAAATCGCGCGCTCCGGAGTTCGACTGCAAAGAGTAGCGATCGAATTGAAAAATACGCCCGAGCATATGCCGAAGCCGTGTAGTCTTGCAAAGCTTTCAAGTTCATTTTCGCTTTTGTAGGCCGTTGGACGGCGTAAAAGGGAAATCACGCGCACATCCCGAAGCTTTGGCCGTGTAGTTAGTGGGGCATATTATGCACTCTTCGAATCACTGAACTAATTATTATACAATAAAGCGCCCCGTTTATTTATATTTATTCAACGTTATTATACGTGCACGCAGCTATATGCATCCATCGCTTTTTCATTACTATATATTGTTATTGAAACGAAACTTCTTTAGTCGCGTTAGGTATTAGGGGTAAAACTATGAAAACCGAGTGTACGGGCGAGTGGAGACCGGTGCGATAATCGTAGGAATATAGACTGTATATAGACAGGGTACTTCTACGCCGTCCACGCTAGCAGCTGCTGGCTATCCGCTTCGGTTGCCGAGTTTTAGGCGCGCATCTACTGCTACACGCTCGGCACTCATGTCTACGCAACAGTTTCAAGCACTCATTATACTAGATCATTTGGAACTTTGCTAAATACATGCCTTGATTTTAGTTTTTTAAACAAAAATTTTAGTTTCAAGTTTATTTTATTGAATTAAAAATCTAATTAGGATATTTCGTTTCACTCATTCGATGAAAAATTAAAAGGAAGTAAAGAAAGCATAAGTTTATAATTTGTAGGTATATTTTTGTTACGGAAAACCGTAGACAAAATTAAAAATTTTGCCCGCGCGCACAGTCTATAGCGTATGTATTTTTCATTAGCCAAGTACTGCTGGCCCCATCCTATTTGCTGGTAAATGATGCACTGGACAAAAAGGATGAACGACTCTTGCCACACAAAGTATCGAGTTTTGAAAAGCCTATATGATTTTAGGCACTGTGATTTAATTTGAATGAGTTTATTTTGGAATTGTGTCAGAGGGATTGATGCAACGCCGAAGATTAAAATAATTTCGATTATCGTTTTAGAAACAAATAAGAAGGCAGTTATGAACGATCTCATGGAAAAGACTCGTCGAATCGAAGCGCAGTGATTACATGTATCGAATGCTAATGTTACATAATCTATGTAACTAATTCATAGGCACACGCAATCGGGGCATGTACAGCCGAATCGGTATGAATCGCGCGCACGGGCAATCAAAATTAGCACAAGACACCCGAAAACAAGTGTCGCGCTATCGCGACAAAACATCTACACGGGTGATGTCTTTGGCGGTTCGTCGCTTCTTTACGATAATGATCACCGCGACTCTTGAGCCGTCGTCGCACGGCCGCGTATGTTATCAAAATTCGAGGTAACCCGGGGTTACGAATAAGCCGCGCTTTGATGCACGATGACCGCGCGTAACCCGCTGAAGAGGGCCATAAATTCCGTAGGGCATCGGGAAAAATAAATGACGTAACGGCACCCGCGGTGTTGCTCGAGAACAACAAAGTCCTCAAGTGACACAGATACGGCGGGGTATATAAGCGCGGAGCAATTCAGCCTCCGG